TTTCGCTAGGACTATACGTGAAGGTTTCATTATATCTTTACCGAGATAATTTGTAAATATAGTACTAAAAAATGGAGTTCTTACAAAAAAAAATTATTTTTTCAATAAAGGGTACCATTTTTAATATATCAAAACATTACAGTTTATATCAGCACAGTTAGAACACTTTTCCCAAGCAGTACTTCCCAGAAAAATCCTTTTTTAGAAAATGTTAACATTTTCTAAATTTTTTTCAATGATGTATAAATACTACAATTAGTAATTACTAGCATAAACAGCCACCTGTAGGGTGGTGTTTCTGCTAGTTACCAATAATACCAGTAGTATTACTGTTCTGCTTTTAATAATACTAGTAGTTTTACTATTAGAATATTGCTCAAATTACTGTCATTAATATTAGTACTGTGTGCTAATTACTATATTGTATAATACTTATACAGTATTACTACTACTTCACTTAGTATTACTATTACTAGTATTACTGTTAAAGATATAACTTACACAACTGCAGACTATATAGTCTTAGAATTTAGACTATTAACCTTTAATTAGCAAATCTAATTTGTTGTGTAATTTGAGACATATAATAGTACAAGTATGCATGACTGGCAATAAGAATAAATTAGTATAGAATTAATATATACATTTATTAAGTTAGGTACACTTATTTTTTTAGTGTATATGTAGCATTATTTAATATCCAATATTTTACAAAGTCCAAGAAGGAGGTATCAGAATTGTATGCAGAGAAAGTTATGGTCCATCAGTATCATTTCTGTGTATCAACAGAATCATTAGAAAATATTGTAACTTATCTTTCAACAGTTTGCTTCAGTCGCTAACCAAGGTGGAAAACAATCTTTTGTCTGCAACCTAAACTTTAACGATATGTCTGTGGACCCTGGCTAATCAAGAATGCTATCATTCTTGAGCAGATTGTAAATATTTGTCTAACACAAATTTCTGATGCTACATTAAATCACTTATGTAGCAAGTTAATCGTATGGCCATCAATTAGTGAAAGAAGAATTGCCAAACATTTAGAAATGTAGTGATTTTCCAGGTGTATTTGGTGCTATACTGATGGTACTCACACACTTCCAAACATCCAGAGGTGTATATAAATAAAAAATGTTTCCATTCAGTTGTACTCAAGCTGTAGGGGATCCATATTTTCTACTGATTGTTATACTGGCTGGCCCAGAAGTGCCGATTATGCTAAGGTTTTAAGAAACTCTATACTACAGTTAAGGAGATGTGTTCTCCAGCTTACCATCTTATTGGTGATCCTGCATATCCTTGTGCAAAGTAGTTACTAACCCCTTTCAAGAACAATGGTAGACTAACAAAGTCAGAAATATTATAGTTATTCATTGTCCTCTTCAAGAAGTGGCACTGAAAGAACACTTGTATAATTAAAGGGCAGGTTTTGAAGGTTAGAATATTTTTAGCTGAAAACACTGGCCATGACAAAGTTATAAGCATGTGGTTAACATTTGTTTAATATATGAAGATGATATAGAAAATATGTTATTAGAAGAAAGAGAAGATCAGAATTTCAGAATATGTTTGTTCAAAACACTAGTCAAAATGATGGAAATGGAAAACATGAAAGAATATGCAGGGTACTGTGGGGAAGAAGAAATTTATAATACAACTATTTGTGTATTTATATTTGTGCTGTTGCATAGTTGTCAAAAAATTACAGTTTAGAACATAAAATAGTCTCACAGTGTTTCCTTTATCATCATCTTTGCCAAATTAAGAATTTTATATGATGCTTTAAATTTTTTCAAATATATCTGCAGACAAAGGAGCCTTAAGATTAAAGTGGTTATGCCATGCAATAAAAATAAATACTGTCTACATATCTGTATTCTTTTTATCACAATCAGTCATAACATAAAATCCATTGTCATAAAACTCCTATTTATATCAGTTATAGTGTCATCTGTGTTGGAGCAATATAGTGATTTTATAGATTTTGCTTTATAAATTCACTAATATTTTATTTTATGGTAATAACACTTTTCTTCAGAAACTGCTTTGTTGTCAGAGTTTAACCAGCTATGAGCAAAGTTTTTGTAGTCACATTGTTTTGCATTATTAATGTTTTTCCGATAATAGGTTTGGTTATAAAATGATCACTCACTTTAAAATTTACTAAAATACTTTTAATCACAGATTAAATGTGTATAAAAGTAATTATTTTTCTATTGTAAATACTGCATTTTCAAAAGTTCCCCCAGCCAACAAAATCCACCACAGAAATTCTGGTATTCTGAATAGGTCATACACATAAGAAATATGATCAATAAAAATAAATCCAACCATATTTAATGCATATTTAACTTTGTTATCCCATGAATAAACAAAATTGTTCACATATTTAAATAAATTATATGATTGTTTTGTTTTTAAAATGAAGTGACCGGCATCTGTTGTATTTTGAAGTTAATCTTTATTGAATAACTAATACATATCACAGAATAAATGCATTCCTGGAACATCTTATATGAAAAGGGAAACACTTTTTGTTTACAGGTTTAATTACATTGATTAATTCTTGCATGATATTCATGTTATCTTTGTGCATTTCATGTACTGTTTGTATCTTCTGAAATGCTCCGTTTTCCTTCATATTGTATTAACCAATCCAGTAAACTTTTCTTCTTAGAAGCCTTTTTCCTCCTCTTTGCAGGTGTTTCTGTCCATTGTTCATGTCTGTTTCATAATCTGTACATAGAAACACACATTATTGTTCTATTTCTACTATATGAGCATAACAGCACCCCAGCATTATAAACCTAAAATTAGAATTTGATTATTCATAAACAAAAAATACTTTTTAAAGTTGTATTATGATGGGGTTTTCTTATTACTTTGTGGTCTTGCATGATTAACAAATGCATCTAGAGTCATAAAAATAGACATACCAATTTGGAAAGCTGATGAAGTTGTGTTTCCAGTTCTTTGACATGCCAATGACACTGTATTTTTGTCTGAACTGCTTGTACTTGTAGAACAAGTGGCACTTGAGGTTTATAAGTTGGACAAAATAACACTAGAATTTTTAAATAAATTCTGGCTGAACATTTGGCTAATGATGCAAAAGCTCATGCAGTTGAGCAATGAACAAGCATTGTTTATGATTATTTTCAGATATTCTGTTATGATCAAATATTCTTTGATAAGCAGCAACCAAAGTCATCCATCGACCACTTGATTTTCAGAAAATAAATTTTCTTTTAAGACGTTTGTTATTTCCTTTCATAATGTTCTTTTTCTGTCCATCCTCTCCTTATAACCTTCAATGTTTATTTTCTGTCCATCCTCTCCTTATAACCTTCAATGTTTATTTTCTGTCCATCCTCTCCTTACAACCTTCAATGTTTTTTGTCCATCCTCTCCTTATAACCTTCAATGTTTTTTTTGTCCATCCTCTCCTTATAACCTTCAATGTTTATTTTTGTCCATCCTCTCCTTATAACCTTCAATTAGATCTAGTGTTGCAGGATGATCCCATTGACCTAAGAAAATCATTAAATATGACAAAACCTATAATATGCAGCCAAACTCATGATAGCCACTAGTACTTAAATACTGTCGACAATAACTTAAATTTAAAGTTTATCTAATATGACAGCTAGCTGTAATGTACTTGTTTGGTGTATAAATATAACTTAAGGTGACAAACAGTCAAATAATCATATTAGATATACGTTTCTTAAGAGTCTAATTACCACCCTCATTAAATCTGCTACTGTACTGTGCTAGTTCACACCCTAATTTATGTCATCCTTAGTTTTCACCTTTCAAACTTCTATGGGGGAAATCATTTAGAAACTAATATAATAAAGATTTCCTAGGTCAGTAAGCTTGTCAACCATGGAGACATCCAACTATTTTTTATTAATTTGTGAATGGAAATAAAAGTGCTAAAAATAGTAACCATACTCAAAGGAATAGATAAAAACACCATAGTAAGAAAAAAAAGAAATAAAACAGGATTTAATTTTGAAAGACAACAATTTCTATAGCTGTTATAGCTAAGAAACAACAAAAAGGTAAACTCAAACTTCTAAATTGAAAATAACATACATAACTTGTCTCAAGGAAGCACTGAATTATATGAATAACCAAAACTAAACATAAATATAATAAAATAACTTATTAATAAATAAAGTAGTAAAAGAAAACATGCTACTTTTTAAGTTTAAATGTCATTCAATTTATTTTGTTAATTGTACCTTACCTGTAAATCCGTAGTACTATCAGTAGAAGTAGTCCTAACATTAGCACTAGGGGTATTACAACCTGCGACATACATGGTTATCTCATTCGTAGAAAAACTAGTGTTCCTTTCTTCATATAATGTCTTACATTATTTATGTGACGCATAATTTCCTCCAAGAATGTAAACATTGTCATACATTTATAGCACTGATACACTACATTATGCACTGCCACCTTGATTTTTATTGCTTCCTCCAATTTCTACATGGAAGGAATGGCAGAGTATTTCAGAAGAGGAATAGCCTAATAAAACAGGCAGTAGACCTCTGCTGGAAGAAGTAGAGACCAAAAAACACACCTTTACCAATTCCTTTCTAAAAAATTTTGAATCAAACTAGTATCTGCACTGTGAGAAAATACACTTCCTCCTCTCCCCAGTAGGTAAACAAATACTTTGCTAAAAAAAATATACGTATTGCTTTATTATAAATATTATTGATGAGTGATCAGCTTCTAACATCAACTAAACAAGTTTTCCACAGAAGTGATAAAAAAAATCTGCAACTTCAGCATGTATCAATTTTATTTTACAAAATAACTCTAAAGCATTTAATTTGATAGAAATGTCAAGTAACAAAAATGAATTTCTATTCTGTTTTTTTTAACCTTTTCATTTTTTTGCAAGTTTTGAGCTATGAATCAATCTGAAGTCCATGATTTATAACATTTACTTTTTACCAGTTCGAAACTAATTAAGGGAAATAATGATTTGACAATTGTGAATTTGACCTTTTTTTTTGTCATTTATAATTTTCTGAACTTATTTGGTAGTCTCTTCAAAATCCAAAGTTTGCTCAAATGTATAAATTTCCATGCATAACCAAATATACATAAATAAATATCCAGAAGAGTAAATGAGATCAAAACAAAAAAATAATTCCCTGTGGTTTATACAAATGTTCAAAAGAATTGTACCTAAATTTGGAGTGAACTTTCATTTAGACAGAAACTAAAAACACGCTTAAAAGAAATGAAAATCAAGCTTTTTATACAACGTATTGTATGTGGCTCACATCAAAAACTAGGTGTTTTCCTTTATTTTAATGTTAATTCTGTCTATTTAGAATGTACATTTTTTTTATTTATTTCCTTTTTTAAATAATATCTTTTGTACTTTTCTTGCATTATTATTTTTCTATTTTTTGGCAAGAGTTTCAATTAACATTAAATTTTAAGTGATTCCAAATTTTACATTGTTGTAAGTAAATATTTTCTTTGGAATTAACTCCAACAGTGCATTTTTTTTTCCATTTAGCATATAAAACCTATCCACATTTCTTTTATCAATAAGCCTGTAATATACAAGATTTATACCATAAATGTGCTGGTAACATAAAAAGGTATATAAAACAAGAAAGTGCAATGTATAGAAGAGCCAATGGATTTTTGTACTTCTAGATTAAAATATACCTCATAAGAAAATTTATTATATGACATTAAAACAAGTACTGGAAAATAACCTTACCTTTCCAATTCTAGGAATGTAAGGCTTCTTGTTGGGTAAAACCTCATCCATACCTTCAAACAATAAGCACAAGTTACTTAAAACCTGCTCCTACACTGACACATTTGTCCAATAAATATTACTTGAATGAGCTATAAAAGCTTGGTGCTCCCGTAAGTGGTACAAAAAGGTTCACAGCAGTACTAAAACATTATTTGTTTAACTTTGAAACTTCTTTCATACAATGAGGATTTAATCAATCAATGTAACCCACTTTTTTATGTTGGGTACATTATATCACTTTTGTATAAGCTTTTATCTGTGGATAAAGAGTACCTACAATAACAGTATCTTGAAAATCTAACAGATAGACTAATATATGTTGTATTTCTTTTTTTTGTTATGAGTTTGGAAAATACATAGCTGGATTAAATAATCTTAGTGTGTATGAAGACTTGCATTTTTATAAAAGTGAAACAAAAGACAAAAAGCTTTCTCATTTATGTTTTTGCTGCACAGTTTCAAATCAATAAACACTAGTTATTAGGGGTTCACTATATTGTTTCTAAAGAAATTAAATCTGAGTTTATGGGGTACGTGATCCAAAGTCCCAGGTAAGCATTCCTATTATATATTCTATCAGTCCTCTAACAACTGTTGCTCAGAACAATTATCAATCAAAAATACCACTTATAAGTTATTAATATAAAAAAAAAACATTTTTCACATGACCTTCCTGTAATTTCAATACTGGATGAATGGATATTGAAACTTATACAATGGGTACTACATGAAACTTCATAGTCAAAAGGTCATTGGTACAGAGAACATCTGCCCCCAATCTTGTGGATAGGTACTACACCATCATATTGGGAAGGGGGCTTAAACATACAGTATAACATTAGTGGGGGACATAAACACGGCTTGCACTTCTTTAATTTAATTTTAATACTACACTATTTCACAAATAAAAGAACCAAACATTTTTACACTTAATAAAATCCAATAAATAATTAAATTTATAGTACTAATTTTAAGACTTACCAATATGCCAGAATGGTATCACCAAAGGGCAATTTTTGGATTCAGTTATCAGTCGTCCAACACCTGAGTAAGAAAATCATGAAAAGATACAAGTTTTGACATACCATAAAGAAAAAAGGGAAACACATGATGTATGATCTCAAAGCTGCCATATAATGTGTTCTGAGTAACGTAATGAAACATCAGTATCAACAAAGTCAGTATAACTATCATAATTATTACCATTTCTTACTTGGCCAAATAAATAAAAAGAACATGTTAGTAACAACTCAAAAACTTTCTCTGATGCTGTTAATAAGGCCTCTATACATAAACCCTTGAAATGAGGATTTTACAGTCAATTATGAGACGTTATATTATGTATACTGATACTATAAACACTTTTAGTGAGAGAAATATTAACAATAAGTATTCAAATAATCTTTGCAATATCACTTTAATACTTTCAACTGAGACTTTGGATGTTATACCCCAGTAACATTAATTAGGTTTGGTTTTCAGAAAAAGCCTCACCAGAACAGGGCTATAGTAGATAAACTGTAGTTGAAATGTTATTAAGACATTTTTTATTTTAAAAACACATTAGACAAGCTAGTGGTGAAAAGTTTCTGTCCGTATAAGATGAACACCTCACAAGCTTTAGTGTTATATTCCTTACAACTGAGTGGAAACTTATATGGGCCATATTTTAAAATGGAATTTTAAAAATTATTAAAAACTAGTTTCATTTGGTTATTTTATCACACCTACTTCTAGAAAAGAAGTGTAATGTACAAAATATATCATATTTCTGATACATTTAAACTGCTTGTACCTAGACCTGGGGAATTAATGGAATTTTTTAATCAATTAATCATCAGGTTGATGAATCAATTAAATTCAACTTATTGATTATTCTCACATAAGACTTGGATAATTGGAAAAATTGGAGACAACAATCTTTATTAGTTGATTATTTTCATCAGTCTTGACACTAATCAATTAAGCTGAACAACCTTGAATTAACTGAAAATAATAATGACAAATCGTAACTGCAGTATTTCAAGTTCTTGGATAGTTGGAATGATCAGAAACAGTACTTTTGACTAGTTAATTATTTTTGTAACAGTCAATTTTATCATCATTTCAAATAACCAATCACTTTACACAACATCAACCAATGTACTCAATGCTCATATGTAATGAAGTTAATCATCCAGCTCTACTTGTACCACGGTTCAGAAATCATCTGTTTAAGTTTTCTGATACATGCAATGAAATATAACAAGCATAGTTTTGCCTTAAAGTTCATCTTTTATTTAAGTTATTATTTATAAAGAAACCCACAGTAAGATTAGTTAAATTTCGTGTGATGCATGTTAAGTTTATTTTGTTGATTAGCTAATATTTTCATATATATGTGTAAAAAACTTAAAGCTGACAGACCAATAGCTTTAAAACTTTTATATGAGAAATAATAAAAATTTGAAGTTAAATCTCATACAGTTTTGGAAAGAATTTATGTAATTTTTAAAATGTATAAAAAAATTAAAAAATATGCAAGTAATAAATAATAAATACAATTCAAAATTCTACAACATCAAGATAAAGCCAATTTACCCCACTTTAAGCGGTGGAACTCTTTATTCATCAAGTTCACTTTGCCCTCGGGAAAAAAATGAATCCAGTTTCCAGCATTAGCTAGATTCACACAAAAGTCCATAGCCCACTGATAAACTCCTTCTCCTCGACACAATGGGAAAGTCTTTCCATGGGCAAAAAAACTAGCATGCCATTTTCTGGTAAAACAGATATCATGAGCAGCTGCTGACCAACGCATTACTTTAGGGTTCAAGAGATGATGCCAATCAAGGATTCCTAAAGAACAGGAAAGTAAATATGGGTAGCATTCAAGTAATAAAATATATCAATATCTACAATCATATCTTCTGATTTGAAATTAAATCTAAAAGTTTTCAGTTACTTCCAAAATCAAATTATTTCCAAATATACCTCATTTCATTTTATTTATACAATACTGCTATACTAAATAAATGCTAAGAATTTCCTCTCATTTTTAAATGTCTGAACACATTTGTACACAGACACACACATGTAACTATTATACATAGGATTTTATAGTTACTATTTTGTAATAGTCTTCTGTAGGTGGAGGTTGGATGTTTTATAGATGTAGAAATTGTAATGTTTTATTTTATTATTACGATTAACAGCTGTTTATAATTCTGACTTACTAATAACATCCTTTTGGGGGGTAACTACTATGCCCACAACTGGTTGTACATGGTGAGTGGTAGTGGGGTTTAGGACACTGTGAATTCTAAAACCTAAACCTCAGCCCCTTACTTGATTTCCCTTGCAAGCGGTCTGTGTTTTTAACATAGTTTCTTGGATTATATTTAACAAATGGGAAATCACCAGTACTGTGGTAACAATTGGGGCACATGCTCCAGGGCCCCTACCAACCAAGTGACTCCCACAGATAAGGAAGTAAATAAATGAAACTTATTTTTAAAAGAAGTAGATTTTTAAGATAAAAGATTCTGTAATTAGATATACAAAACATTAAGAATTTCTGAAAAATGCTTGTTGGTAACTGCTTTTGTTCAATACATTTTATTTTTACTAATGCATTGAATTGTTATTGCATGTGATAATCTGTGGATCCAAATATGTGACATGCACTAAAGTATAATCCATCTAGACTTAAGGTTGCCATCTATCAACAAAGGCACCTTATAGTAGACAGTATGTGAGAACTGCTTTTACTAATATTGTCTCCAAAACATTTATCTAAACCACAATGTATTGCTTGTCTATAGCATCATTAGTGTCTTTAGATGTATTTTAGATCAAATTTGAGCAAATATATGCTAGATTACTTTCATATAGATTTTTAGAAATGATGTTTTTTTTTCATCTTTCAATATTGTTACACCGAGGCAATACAACTTGTTTGTCTTTGTAATTGTTTACTACACAGTTGAAGTACAAGTTCAAATTTTATTTGTTGAAATAACTATTTTTTCACTGTTGCAGGGATATTTTTAGCTCAAGCTCAGAATCCCTAATTTTGGTTTGGATTTCTCATAGGTTTGCCATGTAAACACTGCTTTTTTTTTCTGTTTTACTCTTAACTAGACACTATCAATGTGACATATTTATAGGAAATTTGTCTTTTCAAATGCTGATTCCAGGGAGTTTAGAAAGGGATAACAGAATAGTATTAAGTTACAAAGCATGCAACCAACATATCAGCATATTCTTGATTACATATTAACTCCTCAAACCCAAGTGGACGCTGACTGCATTTGTTCCCAAATCCCAATTTACCCATTGGACAGTGACACCAAATGTTCAACAGGGAGAGGTTTGAAGGCGTTTACTCAACAATGCTTCATGTGGGTACCGCTGATACTGAAGAAAAAACAAAATTAAGAAAATTGAAATTTTATATGGTATGGTTATAATTATTAGGAAATCATGAATATAATTCCAGAAGAACATGCAAAGAATTTCAGGTTTAAAAAGTTAATATGTTGCTTGTATATGAGCTAATCAAATATTCTTACTGCATGCTGAGTTATTTGTTTAGTGTTTACTATGAGGAAGGCATAGTTTATATGTGATTTTTTACTAGTATATGTTACAAATTATTCTGTACTTATGGATGATTAATGTTTATTTTTACTAACTCTTTGATGGAACTGGTATATCAGAATGATAAATGTGACTGTGTTGTGAATGAGGGAAAATCTTTGAAAGTTACTTCAACATATGTTTGAGAACTTTTAATAATGCTATTATATCTCACACCAGTTCTTGGCCTGAAGATTCTTTTGAAAAGGCTGTTGACTGAAACCTATGAGAAATACAAAACCAACATGGGGATTCTAGACTTGAGGCTGAAGATATCCCTGGAACAGCAAAAAATAATTAGTTCAACATTTATATACTAAGTTGAATTACAAATATAATGACAAATACAATACATAATTTGAATTTCTACTTCAACCATTTAGTAAACAAATACAAAGACAAACAAGTTGTATTGCCTCAGTGTAACAATATTGAAAGATGAAAAAAAGAAAACCCTATTATTTCTAAAAATCCAGGTAAAAGTAATTATAATACATTTGCTCAAATTTGATTTAAAAAATCCTAAAGTCACTGATCATGCTGTAGACAAACAATACATCACATTTTAGATAAAGGTTTTAGAGACAATGATACATTAGTGATCTCAGAACAATATGCACATAACCAACAATCTGTGATTTTGCTGGATCCTTTAATGATGAAAAAATAGCATTCAAATTTAGACCAGGAAATATCTTATGAAATTATTTAATCTCCGAGTTTTTGTAACTCCATTCTTTATCCTTATTCATCAAGGTAAGTTTATGTTTCTAAGTAGCCTAGCTTTGGCTAATAGTCTTTTTCTAAACTTTGGTCAGGCATGACTGGTGGTTAGGGCACTCAATTTGCAATCTGGGGGTTGGGGTTCAAATCCCACACCCAAGCATGCTTACCCTTTCAAGTGTAGTGGCATTATAATATGACAGTCAATCCCACTATCTGTTGGTAAAGAGCAGCCCAAAAGTTGGTGGTTGGGTTGTTGACTAGCTGCCTTCCCTCTAGTTCAGGGGTCACCAAACTTTTTTTCACAGATAACTGAGAGAATGACGAGCGCGGGCCACATAACCAATGCAGTGAATACACAAAAAATAAAGACAACAAACATGTTTATTTACCAAAAAATTATCAAAGGCGACATTAGCAATAAGATAGTTATATCACACCCAGTACGCACATATTCGAATCTCACAAACTAAGCAGCAAAAAAGGTTTGTGAG